CTTACCTGGATGCGGTTACTGTAGGTTGTGGTGTGGGCGGATACCACGTGATATGCACAATAAACACGAATAGAGCTGTAAAATGAAACACAACATGTGGAGACGTGAAAGGAAACTGCAACATTGGCCGAAAAATCATTCGACAGTTAAAGAATAGATTAAAATGGAATTAGGCGAGACAATGGTAGTGTTGGACCGGGTAGGTAAATAATGGTACCAGCCAAATCTTCGCACCATAATGCCAATTGACCTCCTTAAGTGTGACGGCTTAAGGTCACTACGCCTCCCAGTTATCTATCTAGTTGATCAGGCACGCAACTAATTGGGGAAGCAAACCCCTCATTATAATATTGTTGAAAAAACATTAATTTATGACACATATCCTAAGTATGATATAGTCCAGATAGATTGTTAAAGGTGTAGTGGGACGCTCTTCTACAAAAGCTTCAAATTCGCAGTGAGATGGTCTTCTTGACACGGTCGCGACGTTGCTCTGCAGGGACTCTGAAAACGTAAACAGGATCTTGATTAACTCAGGAGGAAGGTGCCATTCTAGAGGAAAAGGCTCGAGAGACCTGGTCGACGCACTGGGATATCGGTTCAAACAAAGTTTGCTAAAGCTTACTGTTGTATATAGACTGCATCTATGCTAGCTTATATACCAGAAAAGGGCCTCTCTTCAAGAAGTTCCTTATTACCACAGCTTTTGCAAAGTGGTATAGGGGAAGGAGGGTGGTTGAAAAGTCACAGGAACCCCATGAAGGTCATATCCTGCGGATTTGCTGACTGACTTGCTTGAGGGAGGCCAGTGACATTTAGATAGAGACGTGGGGTACTCATCGAAAGCATGCGGAGCTCCTTGATTAAAACTGTTCCTATTTGTTTTTTTTCCACAAAATTTTTAGATGTAGTTTCGAAGTTTCTCATTACATTTGCTTTTTTTTCTCAATACCTTGCTCAGTACTTCAGTCATAGCTAGCTAGTTATAGTGGATTCGTGATGATGATGATGATGATCGGTGATGACTGCTCATTTTGAACTAGGTTTTTTCTATATTTTAGATTGACAGCGCTTTTCCCTTTCGAATACACCACGTTTTATTCATATTGTTTTTGTTGTTTGTGTTTTTTCAATTGAAGTATCGTTTCTACGTGACCTCTACACATATTTGAGTAGTATTGTAATTCCTAAGCCGTCACCCTCAATGAAGTCACTTCGCACTTATCCGCGAGACTTTCGCACATGAAGTTTCCACGCACCCCCGAGCGAGGCATTCTCAATTAGGTGTGAAACCTACCATTCTTTACTGACCCGTGTCGCACCCTGTACGGGAATGTGTAACAAACAGTGAATGGAATATTCACCTGTGGGCGTCTGAACGTTGCGGGGTACCTGGAAGGAAATTTATTAGGATGCATCTGGATGTGTATTTGATTTCTCGACTGTGAATTGAATTGAGGTGTTGGTTGGGGTGTCAGCTTTTTGACTTCTTGAGTAGGTTTGATGGGGTTACGGTATGGTGATGTTTAGCCTAATCGCTGCTAGGATTTCTATCCAAGCCTTCCTCTTCCTCGTGTACGGCGTTCAGAGTGAACGGTCCTCTGCGGTCAATGACCTTTTGATTCGATTAAGTGGACGCGCCGTGGCTTGAACTGGATGCAGTAATGCTGACAACAATTGCATGTGGATGACCCACTTTCAGAACACGGAATTTGCCAATTCCTGGTAAGCAGCGTTTTCGCGCAAGTCTCTGTTTGCTGGTGTAAAAGGAAAAGACGCAGTCTCCCCTTCGATTGTCAATGGCCGTGCAGTTTTGACATACGAAGCGATCATGAATTGGGACCGGGTTTTCGCGGGTACGACTGCGGCGACACAGGGTTCCTGCCAAAAGGTTTTAAACGTGCGTTTGCGCTGTTACCCATTGAGCGGTGAGGAGTATTGAAATGTTGAATAAGGAGGGGGTTGCAAAACCCCTGGTAGAAGTTCGATGTAAAAATTGACACCTGGTCCGACACCAATTCCGCTATGGTACCTTATTTTAGCACATCTACGACGACGCCCCTTTTCCACTTTTCGGTTGCGTGGGACGGACGCGATTTTGTGGGGGCCGCCGCCTCACCACATCACCTCAGATTTGTACTGTAAAAGAATGAAAACATGAATGCCACAAAATGATTTCAGCAATGTTGTTGTGTAAAGATTATATAAACATATAATAGTAGGATTTCGATCAGAAGGACAAATAGTGGCCACGAAAAGAGAGCATTTTTCGCTTTCCCCGTGAAGGATTTCGAGAGAAAGAGAAAGAAAAAAAATTTCTCACCCGACTACGAGATTTACCCACCTATCTGTCCATTCCTAGCGCCTGGCAAGCAGTTATCAGCTGGCAGCCCATATGGGCTGCCATCGCCCCAGAAGCACATGTTGTTAGCAGCCCATATAGCCATCGGCGTGAATGTGTTAAGATAACCTCTGTGAAGAGCGAGTGTGATAGTGTTGGCGCGTGCGTCTAGTATCGGAGTCGAAGTGGCGTAGGGCGTGAACAAGTAGACACATTTAAAATGCACTTGTTACCTTTTCCCGTGAGTTTGAAGAGAGAGAGATCAAAACAACTTTTGCGAACACGGTGTCGCTGTGAACTGGTATTAAGCGCTCGAAAAAACTCGATTTTGGATTGCGCTTCATCTGAGAGGTGAGGCATTCCTTACACCATTTGCTCACGTTAGAGTAGATAGTAGGCCAGTAGTACTTGCGCAATATTTTGGCTACGATCTTTTTCTAGGAGGTGTGGCCGCCTTAAAGTGCACTGCTGTAGTGGGCACTGAAACGGAGGCTATGAAATTTTTGTGGCACTAGGAGTAAGGGTTCAGTGTCACTACTAGCCTTATTTAGCTTGTAATACATGCATCCATCTGAGCTTATGTGGGGGCGGCTTGCTACAGATTGTGCCTCAGATCGCAGTTCGTCGGTTACGGTGCTCGGTGTGATTTCTCTCATCTCGGGGAGCCACACCAAGCGGAGAAAATCGTCCTGTTGCTGCTCTTGTGTGTTGCAGACGAGTTCCGCGCTACCGCAGATGTAGGTGTGGGTGACTTTACGGGTGTGAGGGTCGCCCTTTGGTGTTTAGCGTCCTGTTAACTGATCAGGAAATCTATGATGTTCTGCAATTTTTGTTCTGGCTCAGCAATTGCGTCCTGAACTTCGCGAGCACGGGATGCAGCGCCAGCCATCGTGTTCTTGTAGCTTTGTGCTCTATAAGTCAGCGCGCTAGGCTGTCGTGGGTTTTGCTTTTGTTGAGGAGATAGGTGAGGAGTTTACGACATTGCGCAGCATTACCTGTGCCATACAAATATCAGGTTCTCAAAAGTTCGTGCGTATTCTTTGGATCTAATTCCACGAGCTCCTTCAGCGAACTCTAATTATGTTACGTCATCAGTGGATAATGCAAAATGTGAACTAACTCACAATCGAATCATGAACACCTTAGCCGCCCTCTTCAGAAAGCGAGAAAAAAAACAGCCATATTTTGTCCGCTCTGACTAAAGAACTTCTGCTGAGCCGTAAAGCAATCAAAGCCAGAGGAAGCATCTGCATTGTGATACATCTCCTTGTCATTGGAAAGGCAGAGCCAAGCCATCAAGAACCTCAGCGAAATGTAGCTAAGGGGTCGAATGCTTGTAGCAATTGCCAACCCAACAAGGGCAGTGGCAACCAGGTGACTGAATTCATTAATATTTCTTTAATCATCAGCACGCTTTCAAATCCCTCCGAATATTACAAAACTTTTGCTTGTTCAAGAAACGGACACATGGGGGGGGGGGAGACATCAGGCACAGACCCAGGAGAAAAGGACAAAAGCCAGATAGATAAGGTATTTTCCGAAGAGCAATGCTAAAGCAATGCTAACCTTGCAAATCATGCAGTATCAATTCATCATATCCTACGGAACATGGAGCAACGTATCGCTCAACCCAAACGCACTACTCAATGCCTAAGCAGTGCGATACTGGACCGCGAACAAGAACAACTTCAACAAAACCTTCCAAACATAGCCAACCGTGATATAAACCGAGACGTACCCCCTCCAGCTGCGTACAGACAGAATCAAGTACAACATGATTCTGTCCGTACGCAGCTGGAGCTTCTCAATCACATTCAATTTCAAGGGTCACCAATGCTGACAAATTCATTATTTTCTACGGACACATTCAGCTTGGTCGCTAATCTAGGCGAGTGTTGAAATAACTACTCCTCTGTTTGTTTACTTTAGTTTCTGTGCTGTAGAAGTCAACTTTGCATTTATTCCAACAACAATGTCTTGGGTGCAACAATAAATTAATAAAAATAAACTTTTCTGGGATCTGTTGGAAGAACTAGTTCACAAGAAACCATACTCCAACATAGACAAACTTTCAATTCTCCTAAGCTGTTGGAAATTAGATGCCGAGCGATCACTACGAGTTATACCTCGAGCAGGAGACGCAGACCGAAGAGCACTACAACAATTAAAGAACCAGCAGGAATACCCTGAAAGGATTACCACACAATCCGCCAGCTCAAATCAATGAAAGTATGTCATGACGACCCACGTACTCTATGTAACAAATTGAGCCACATATGTCATGAACTCTCCGTTCATGATGACGTTGAGTGCCCGCCTCTTTCCGCCGTATAAAGCGGCGAGTGTATCATTAGGAGGGATTGCTGTCAGCCTATACGTGTTTCGTCTTCGACTCTCTCTCTGTGACGGGAGGAAAGGATGGTGCGGGCCCCCACTGAGACGGTTTTAAAAATACGAACTATTCCAATAGGTTCCACATAGGACAAACTCCTTCATTCTCAATTCTATGGCAGATTTTGAGGTTCATTGTATACTCTATGTAGCTGCCCGATTTGGGACTCATATATTTGGCTCGTATATTTGGAAGATATGGTTAATCAACAAACATGTACTGATATACTGTAAAGAGAAGTGAACCACCAAATTCCATCTGGAAGTGATGCATCTAGATCATGGTGCATTGGCCGAGAACCCAAGTTAGAAACCACAATTCAATAAGACAACGAACAAAATTCAGTACCCCACTACTGTAATTGCCTTTTGGTATATTAGGTTGGAAAGAAAGTTCTGCAACACTCTTTCCAAAATTTTTTTTTATGAAAAATTCATAGTAAACATTTATGACTACCAAATGATAGCGCATTCTCAAGGCTTCAATCCACGAGGTGGATATAAGTTCTGCAGTCAGTAGTTCCAAGAAAATTCAAAAAGTCTCGACCACTAGCAAATCCGTACTCCGAGTCACTGTCTCGTACAAATGTCTACAAAACCATGGATTCGTGTCAGCGACTGACACTATCTGCAATAGCTTCTAATGGCATGCCGTTCAGCGATACATCGTGTTTCACCTTTACCAGCGCTTCCTAACTTTTGATATTTTTATAAGAAGCCAGCAGCATCCCTCACACTCCATTACAGGTAGGGCTCTTACAGAAGCTCCACTACATACCCTTCGTTATGGGCACCATTGTGTAGGCAGTGGCCTAGGTTGTGGAGTACCAGAAGATGGCCGAGGTAGGTCGCCCAGAGCCCTCGTACCGCGACAATATTCATTTCTTTCATGACATTGCGAACCACCATGATCTGAAATGAGCCCGGTAAAAAATTCTGGAGTTGCGGCAAGATATCTTTCCTCTATTAGCGTAATCCCCTGGTCGAGCTGTAAATAAGTGCTACCTACCCTAGACCTTTAATCATTATTTTTATAACGAAATAGTCAGACGATCAACTCCAACTCGAAAGTGAGGTCGCCTCCTTCCTCGACTCGCACTCCGCTGGGTTTTGGCGGAGGAGGATCAAGAAATTTTCTGAGCGATGGAGACAAGTGGTGGACACTCATGGTAGATATAAGACCGGTCAGAAGTTGTATCCAAAAAAGATAAAACTAAAATTAAAAATTTGAAAAAGTGTTGCAGGACTTTCTTTCCAACCTACTATGTTGCGCGCATAGTATTAGGGTGGTAAAAAAGTACTGAGCCGTTTGACACTTTTTTGTTCTTTGCTTTTTTATTCCGCGTACAATGGAATCTACTGAACAATATAATCACCATTGTTACCAACTGCAGTGTCCCACCTAATGAGTAGGTCAGCGACGCCCTTCTCAGAGAACTGAGCAGACTGAGAGTCAAAAAAATCGCTGACCGCTCCTTCAACGTCTTCAACTTTGGTGAATTTTTTCTTCGCTAGGAATGCCCTAAGGGGATGAAATAAGTGAGAATCAGAGAGGGCAATGTCAGGGGAATAGAGTGGGTGGGGAACCGCGTCGCTCGTTTTTCTTAAACGGCGTCCGCTAGTTTCTGGAGCTGACTGGCGTAAATGCTGCCAGTAGCGCTATGACTTTACGTGAGCATCTCAGAATACAACATTCCTCACGAATCGCAGAGGTAGTAAAGAAGAAAGCTTTTGGGGTGAAGGTCCGATTTTGCTTGCGTCGGCGTGTCTTCTCCTCGAGGTAGCCACACGGCACTGTGCTTGTTAGAATCGTAGAGGACCCCACTCCCATCTCTCGTAAGCATGCCTTCCAGAAACGCCTTTCAGTGCGGACAAAGAAGGAGAAACTAAAAAATGGGTAACCGATTGAACCGCGTGTTATCGGCCAAGACATGTGGGATTCATCGAGTCGGCACTTTCCTGTGGCGAGGGCGTGGAGGAAACCGAGGACAGTGGGATGGGTGCACCCGAGTCTTTTCACAAGGCTGCGGGTGCTACCCTCCGAATCCTCTTCGACAGCGCCGAGAACGGTGAAGTCTCCCACTGTTTGGGGGCTCTCCAACCTTGACTTGTTTCTGAGAAGCCGTGTCTCCTCCTTCGAAGCTTGCAAACCAGAGCTCGGCACTGATTATGAAATTGGTGTCCCTTCTCAATGCGATGCTGATAACGTTGAAGGTTCTCACTGCTCCTGTGCCGCAGCGCCATTCATTGAAGACGATCGCTCGAAGGTGCTCTTGTGGAATCGACGTCACGATTGACGTTAACACATTGACGACCGCGCGCGTTTTGGCTTTTTGGCCGTGTGGGACCGGGCCGATTTTGCGATCGGATCCGTGAATTTTTATTGATAACTTTCTAAAGCACCAGTGGTACAAAAACATCTCAGTAACAGTCAATGCGTAGAAGGCAATAGAGTATATAGTGACGAAGTTCCGATTAAAGAACATGTAATGGTAGTGAAAAAGGAAATTTAAGTCATTTTATCTGTAGTAGATGCCAAAAGCTCTTTTGATGTGGTTATACCATATGAAGCATGTATTTTTCTGTCTCTTTAGATTTGCATTTACTTTCACTACCCTTTTTTATTGACGTGTCCATGCATGAAAACTACTAATGAACCGAGCCGCCGGTTTCGGTGAGCTTGGAAAACTTCTTCTAAACTGGAGCATATTTGAACAAACAATGACCTATGTCGTTCACAATAATGTTATGTTCTAGTCCATAGAACAGAGACAAACAATTCGGGAAAAAACTGCGCATGCCCAAGAAAAAGGGATGATAAGGGTGAGACGCGGTAACGCGTCTCAATGTCCAACGAGGTGCGCAAAGTGAGACGCGTTACCGCGTCTCATGTCGTCCAATCGTTGTTAAAGAAGGCAACCCGGCTACAGATACCTACTGCGGAGAGAATGATCGACAGTGATAATCTATCACGTAGCAGATTCTAGGTATCAGTCAATAAGCGAAAGTTCTAGAGCTTTCAAAAAATCGGCTCAGGACTTTCTTACCATCCCAATATATCAGTCTCGTACCCTTTCGCGAGTTGTTTTCTCCTTTTTAGATATCGTTTTTATACATCATAGTTGTGGCCACAATTTCAAAGAATTCAAAAGAAGTCAGACCGATACTAAGCAAAATTCAATAGTCCAATCCATGTACGCAGAACAAACTAAATCGAGAGGAGCACATTCGTATAAAAAACCCGGTGGCAGCCCGATAACCTGTCGTTCTTGTTCAAGGGAGGCATACTCTGAAAAACCCGGTGTCAGACCGAAATTCAGGCCACAAAAGAAGGAAGATTAGTATGCCGGCAAGATACTAATTAATCAGAGGAAAAATATTGGAAAAAAGTGGAGACGGATTCCGACAGTAAAAGCCTCACTTTGCCAAGTTTCCATATTAGCACCCACTTCGTGAAGGTACATGGAGTTCAAATCCCGTATTGGCCCACAACAAAGCCATGGGATTCCAATTTTCTTGGTCTAGTAAAGCACTTCAAATCTCGCAATCAGTGCCCGCAACCATCACCCACAGAGCTTCAAAGCAGAAATTTCATACTGTGAAATGCCTGGAATCCAACATCTTTCAGATAAGAGCCTCGAGCACGAAGTTCTCATAATAAAACCCCTCTTCCGCAAGACAAACCTCTTCATCTGAAAATTTCTCAAGATGAGAATCAAGATAACACCTACCAAGCCTCAAGCATTTCATACCAGAATACAATCTCAAAGCAACCATAGAAGATGTCATCATTAAAGAAAAAACATCAACGCTTCAACATAAAGCATATATAAGCCACGACACTGCCTGCCCATCATTCAGTTGTACTGATCGCATACGTCTTCATCTACGAACTCTTCATCGTCGTCTACGAACGTCATCGTCTTCAACCGGACACTTCGCTTCACCTCGACATTTTCGATATGTCCCAGAAGTTTCTTCTGAAAAACGTGAAGCACAAAATTACAAGGAACCTTGTCCACCTCGCCACCCTCATCGCAGAAGCCAATGAATACCGAGATGGGAATTCCCTAAGACTATACCCGAACTAAAGCTTTTCATTCTCTCAAACCGACAGTGACTCCAAAATTTGATTTCCACAATCAATAGCTGCAGAGAATACATTAGTGAGTATTACAATAGTTGCAGCAGTACAATAGACGAGATCCTATTACAGGACGAACAATCCAAAGTTGAACAAGACTTCGACAATTACTGGGTAGAGAAAAGAGGAGAAGCTCTACTTCAAGAGGCAGAGTACATTGGACGCCAACTCGAGAAAAGACTAGTAGAACTCGAGTGTCAAGAGGCAATTATGAAGCAATACATCGCAAAGACAACTGGGCAGAGATCCTCAATTCCAACAAGTCACCAAATGAACTTCAACTCCGCTGGAACTCAAGCACACCTAGTGACTCCACCCGTTGCACCACCATTAGGATACATGTTGGGAAGGCGTCTTCTAGGTAATGAACTCAAAATACCCCAATTCAATGGTAAGTTTTCAGAATTTGGCCCCTTTTGGGAGCTATTCGAAGAATTGGTGCACAAACAACCATATTCCAATATAGAAAAACTCTCAATACTGCTTAACAGCTGTAAAGGAGATGCGGCGAGAGCACTCCAAAAGATTCCACGACTTTATCATTCACAGGAGAGATCAAACCTTATACGAAACAACGTGTAGGAACAATTCACGTGGAAGTAACCCAACTTTATTTTGCACCCATATCAATACTTAACAAGCGATTTTTGACCAATAATAAGACAACCGCGTATCTAACGGAGGACACCACCTTTAGTTATGCGTTACCTTACACTCGCAACATGATAACTCATCCACTACCTGCATGATACGCGACACTTGTAAGTGCAATCCTGCGGAAGACGTTGTGAATTGCTACTGCACTCACGAGGATATCTCCCAATTCCTACAACTTACGAATATTCTTCCATTGCCAATTTCAAACGGAATTGGAGTACCAAAAATTATGAAACTACCAAGAGTTCACACAACTGCAATTGCTGTAGAGCTCGCAATTCATTTACCATCCACAGCAATACGAATCCAGCAAGATATAGCAGAGTTCCAATGTAATGTCATTCACAAGCCTCTCACAAGGTGTTACAATTGCGCCAAAGGCGCCGTTGCAACAATTTGGTGCTCTGCTAATATCGAACGATGCATATCACAAATAACATGCACCACACAACAATTTGTTGTCACTTGCACTCGTCAAGGAACCACAAACCGTGTGCCATTGTTTTTTAATACTTCACGCGTAGAAGAAATATGCAGAATTCAAGGTAGTAAACATATCACACTGATCAAAATGCAATCCACTTTGAATTATGTCAACAGTATCAAACCCTTCCTGAAATACTTACAACCTTTAAGCAACCTAACACGACAGTCCAACTCAATAAACATCGACTGGGAGTTACCAGATATAATGCACTTCATTGAAGTTTGCAAGACCTTCTGCATGTATACGATGGCCGTGCTTCTCATATTCGCTTGCGCAACTTTTATCAGTGCAACGCAACTATGCTCGTCCAACCACAACATTTCAAGAAGACAAGCCTCCGCCGGCATAAATACAGCATCCTTTCGCACTAGCGTGTGCTTCTCTCACCGCTGCCACTCTTCTTCTGAAAATGCCTCTCAAGGCTATAAAAACAATCTTCCACTTGGTCTTTCGAGTATTGAGGCACCTTTTTAAAATCCAATAGTTCTTGAATTAAAACGAGATTCCATTTATTATTCGCGAATGTTTCTCACGTTGTATCTCGAATCCACTCTGATCGTCGTATAGACGCATTCAGTTCTATCAATTTTCCAATTTTTATACAAGTGTTTCAGAATGTCTGAATCCGAACAAGCCAAACGTCCTGAATTAAACGCCATGACCGAGAGTGCAGTGGAGAAGACGAGTACACCCCAGCCTGACACATCCGATCAAGTTTCGACGATCAACAAGAAGATCACGCAGCTTCAAGTACGCACGCTCGACATCGCCCCGATAAAGGACAAAGTCGAAAATCTGCATGTGGGTTCATTCACTTTTTCAATTGCTACTCCTTACAGAGGGTATAAGCAAGTTCGAGAAAGTGATTGTAGGATTCAAATGAACCAATCTAGAGCCCGCAAGTTTAAGTTTTTGATTTAAGAAACGTAAAGCCGATAGTACACAGCGCGGTCACAAACGATCGAAGAGTAATAACTCTCCTCCACACGTTTCCGAGATTTCCGAGACCCTAAATTCACTGAGGTACCTAAAAATTCAGTACAAATCCCAAGAAAAAAAAAGAACTTCAAATTCCACTTCCTAGGGAATGATGGTGAAGATCAACGATAGATTGGACCGCCTCGAAGACTTGATCGGGGACACCTACAACAGATTGAGCATGTCATCGACGTGCAGAACGGTGTGGAGTTGGAAATCAAGGACCGAACCCACGACCTCCGCAATCAGCTGGAATCGTTCATTAAGGAAAATCTGCACGAAGTCGGTAATAAGTTCACACATATTGTTCAAGAATTACACCGGGGATCCCAACCGCGTTCAAGTGACGCTCCCAATACAAGCAAATACAAACCCCGTAAGGAACAACCTTGTTCATTTTGTGACGGGAGTCATTACTCATCAGATTGCCGTAAGTTCGTTCGCCTATTCGAAAGACGCAAACAACTCCATGCAAGAGATTTATGTGAACGCTGTTTCCAGAACGCCAACCACATGTCCACTTCCTGTAGGAAAAAAGACCCATGTCACTATTGTTTTTTGGAAAAGCAAGAGAGCGAAATGGGAGGTTACCATTCCGCTTTCTGCCCCTTCATATTCAAATATTAAGTTAAGATTCCAACAGAATACAATTTGACCCCAATCCTTCATTTCTTGTGAACGATGAGTCCATATAAAGTCAAGTAAAAGTCCAACCCATTTCATTCCAAATACAACCCAGGGGCACATCCACATGACAATCCCGCTGGTACTCGTATTTGTAACGGCTGATTGTTGTCCAGTAGTTGATTTGTCGAGTTGTAATTTCTTCTCCATAGTTTATTCGTCCATATTTAATGTTACTGATGATATGTTAATCCTTCGATTTTTAATGATTAGACAATTACAATTACTTTATTCCTTCTTCTTATAGAATTTGGTATGGAGGAGCTTGAATTTAAATAATTCCAAAAAAAAACAAATTTTCCGTCAGTCCAACAGACTAGACCGTTGCGGGGAGGATGCACGGAACAAAACTACGTCCCTTGATGGCTTCCAAGCTGCTGGGGAGTGTCATGAACTCTCCGTCCATGATGACGTTGAAACCCCGCCTCTTTCCGCCGTATAAAACGGCGAGTGTATCATTAGGAGGGATTGCTGTCAGCCTATACGTGTTTCGTCTTCGACCCTCTCTCTGTGACGGGAGGAAAGGATGTTGCGGACCCGCACTGGGACGGTTGTAGTAAAATTACGAACTATTCCCATAGATTCCAAATAGGACAAACTCCTTCATTCTCAATTCTATGGCAGATTTTGAGGTTCATTGTATACTCTATGTAGCTGGCCGATTTGGGACTCATATATTTGGGTCGTATATTTGGAAGATATGCTTAATCAATAAACATGTATTGATATACTGTGAAGAGAAGTGAACCACCAAATTCCATCTGGAAGTGATGCATCCAGATCAACATACAGGCTATAATAGTCACAATACGAAATAAGGAAAATTCAGATTCAACCTATATAACAACAATGGTAATCGAAACATTCCCTAGAAACATTCGAGAAGAAACCGCGCGAAAAGAATCTGACAATGGTACAGAGTGGACTATCAACGACCTTATGGATAACCTAACTAATATCATCAAGCGCAAAGATCACATCATCGGTGTGAGCATCTACGTGAACAACACACTCTCTTCTACACAAGAACTAGAGAACCAACCCCAATCCGTGGCGCTGGATGTGGCCCCCCTCACAACTCTGACACTTGCAAAAAATTTGAAAACAGAAAATACTATCTTAAAACTATCAGCGCATGCTGGAAATACTTAATACACGACATTGAACAATATTTTGCAACACCAGACTGTGCCTGCTGCGGCCGCCATCATAACACTATCATATAAGTAGGCAAACCATCGAAAACAAGGAAAACGATGTCAATTCCAGCCTTTCATAAACCCTTCGGGCAAAAACCAATAACGCTGAATAATAACAATAAACAACACCCACTCAATTAGTACAGACATCCACGTCCCTCACTTTTCCTTTCCCTTCTCAGAAAACACATTCAAGAATACCAATACCTCACAACACAACCAGCGTCGTCGATTTTCGTCACCCTCACTATAGTGTCTCTGTAAAGGAGACCAACACCGACGTAACACCACTCTACCAAAATAATGAAAACACCGTTTCACCACAGACAAAACCAATGCACAAACGACTAGCCCATAAAACAACGTGCACACATAATCAAATCCAACCAAAAAGAAAAAAGCAACCCAAACGATCTGCTCCGAACAGAGTGAATTTCGCGTCATTACCTTACATTGATAACACAAAGCATATAGATATGGGTACGTTTGATCAAGATTTCACACCTCCGTCTACCTCGCACCTTGCCTCGCACATACAGAGTTGCCTGTGGAATGGCCTGACTTAATTGCATGCGTTGCCTAATATCCCTTCTCTTTCAAGCAAAGCACATCAAAACAAATCAAATTTATTCACGGAAGAACTATTAAACAGTCATTCATGTCATAGAATGAGGTGGTTTGAGGTGTTATTCAATGAATTAGCTTCCCTGGAGGCGGTTAGCGATATGTACACTTGTAACACGGCAAACTATCTATGCATAGAGTGTATTCCAAACACAAATAAGTAATTGCTGAAATAGGTTCTTGATAGTTCATCGTTGACCGATATATTGGGACCTTTGGAAAGTTTCCGCCGATTTGACCGTCAAATTCAAAAGCGCATATCTTGATTCGGTGCTAACTTAGGTTGGGGGGGGGGGCCACGCGGCCGGCGCGGCAGTCTGCTCACTCGGCCCTCTCGAACGAGACAGTGTAAACTCGAACATTCCAGCTTTTCACGCATGTCCAGTGACTGCCCCACCCCCCCCCCTAGGCTGGCTACACTCCCCCTGGCCCACGGATTCCGAACATGCCAGACGAGCAGACTGCCGCGTGGCCCCCCCCAACTAGGTTAGCACCCTTGATTCAAGCAAACATCTCGATCTGAATGATACTCAATCCCCATACATTCTATTACAGAGGGGAGTGAGTATTCATTAAATTATGATGTTGAAAATAACGGACTTCTGTAGGCGAAGAGGTAGCGGAAAGTCATTCGTTCATCATGTTGGTGTTCAATGCTGTCTTCGAAAAGACTATCCTAATGGCTGGAAAAGTGATAGTTGGTAAGCAAGATTGCTACCTTTGCAAGATCTCTGCAGCTCAGTTAGGTGAACTTGTGCGCGGTTGGAAGTGCGGGATGGGGCTGCAGAATTATGGAGAGGAGACGACTGTACCTACTTGTCTACTTTCTTAACGTTTCACACCTTTCCTGGACATTTAGGAAGCCCATCTCGGCCACCGACCGTTTAGAAGAGGCCGTTGAACCGTTGCGAAATAGCGGATTGGTCTGATGTAGTACCTCAGTAAAGGGATCTTCCGCGGAAAAAAAGCTCCGCCTCCATTATCACAGAAAAGCGATACCTTAGGCCCCTAGCCTGAAGAGCATAGCAAAAAGAACGGAACATAAGCGTTAGTTTCGATAATACTAATCCTACACACAAGGCAAAATGATCACTCTTTCCGTGGAAGATTCCTTTAAGGTACCATTTTCTGTGGTAATGAGGGCGGAGCTTTTTCCGTGGAGGTTTCCTTGGTTCTGTGTCTTTAGTTCAAGATTCACGCTTATGCCTACTTCACACCTCTGCCCAATAAATGTCAGGTTAATTTGTATTATTAAAAGCCTAGAGAACTGAGCATAATAGCAAAGAGGAACAAGTATACACTCTCTCGCCAGGAAAGGTCATCAGGCCAACCCGGCCAAATAAAATGATTTGCACATTTCTGTACGCACGTGAGACACTGAACTTAAATCTGCTTCCATTGCTACTTTCTCTGAAAGGATTTACGGAGGTTTTTTGTTGCCAACCTCGATTTTCAGTGTCTTGCCTGCAATCACATGTTAGCGCCATTATAAAAGTCTTGGCAGAAGAAGTGAAGCATCATCGGGGTGAGCTTCGGTTCGTGGCGGTCTTACTTACCAAGTAAAAGGTTGCGGATTCGGTTCCTTCCGGTCTGGTTGCTTTTTTTGTTTCCGGTGGTTGCTTTTTTAACATGGCCGAGAAATCTTTTCGAATCCGTTATTTTATCAACTGCCGTACGGCGCTACATCCACGAAAAGCTTGCGAGCAGATCCTCATAAGCTTAAGCAAGCTACTCGCCTGAGTGCCCATGGTGCCCGTAGTGCAGGGGTTATGCTTTTCAACGGCATGACGGTAGAACGTTCGTATTCAGGGGATTAAACTACCCCTCAAAACGATTTTCTCGCTGAAGTTGAGGTCATGATCTGCTTGAGAAAAAGAAAAGCATGATAAGATTACCACTCCTCGAGCTCCACTTTTTTGGGTTCACCAATCGTGGACGAGATGGAGAGGGAAGATATGGGGTTGTATTCGGTAATAATGCCTTGTTGGTCTTCGAGTGATGCAGAAGGGCAAGCCAAACACAATTTTTATTAATTCTGAGAAGTGTTTAGAAGGTTAATTCTGCCACAACCTCTTGGCAGCTTTCTGTAAGGGATTGGTGGATATGTGAGAGACTGCCAAAATTTTCGAGGTTGGGTCAAAATTCCAGAATGGACCAGAAGTTCGCTCAAGGGGACAGTTCGACTCCGATTACGAATATCGTACTTGTTGGAAGCAGAAACGCCTGGCGCCTGCGCTACGAGCGTTTAAAACAGTGAGGAGCGATGCCGCCCCATTTCGTTGTTAAAGGAATCTTGCGCGGAAAAATCATGATTCTATTTCAGCCATAAATTCTTTGGCGATCTTTGGACCTGAGCGGCGGCGTTTTCGGTGGTCTGTCATTTTTTTGTTCTTTTATACAATTTTGATAGTTTAGTTTGTCCTTCCTCACTTTTCGACTTAAGCTGGCCCTTCTAATTATATCTCTGGTTCAGTGCTGAAGATTATAGCGCTTGCTTCTTCTTTTGTTAGTGACGTTTCATTGAGCAGTTCTTTCTGGTGTTTCTATCGATCTGTGTGCGTTAGGCTGTCCTATTGATCATGGCACGAAAGGTAGGTCGTAAAAACAATCAAACTCAGGGTAGCCCCAACGATTCGATGGTTGTTGAACAAAATGATTCCGCCATGAATTCGAATGCTTCTGAATCAGTTGTTGATTACACTTCCTTTTCAGCTAGCCAGCTCATCAAGGAAGTTTTGGACCGCAACACTGACCCCCTTATCCAGAGGATACTTCTAGTACTTGCTGATAAAATCACCAATGATGTTTCAGAGTTTGTGGAGACCGATAAGCGGTCACGAAGCATTGTTCTGAGTGGAATTGAGGAAGCGCCGTCCCATTTACGACCGTCCGAGAGGCAGAGGGATCTGGAGTCCAAGGTCTCTGATGTGCTGGATTCTCTCAAGGTTGAGTGCCGTCCAGTTGAGATATATCGTATGGGCAAGGAAGACCCGTCCCGTCCCAGGCTGGTTAAAGTTCTCTTGCCTTCTCGTTCCTTTTGGCGCACTGCACTCGCTAATGCGAAACTTTTGAAGTCTTCTGGGTTTGCAAAGGTTTTCGTCAGGAAGAGCATGACTCCTGACGAAAGGAAGCATGAGTATGAGCTGCGGCAGCAAGCCATGCGGAGCAATAGTGGTAAGCCTCGGCGCGAATGGGTGGTATATAAGGGGGAACTCAGACATGTTTCTGAGCTTCCTCAGAAGCACTCGGGAAACGCCGAATGAGGCATGGTTATCTGCATGAATGTGCTTTGCATTGTTTCATGTTGAACGCTCGTAGTATATCGAAGAAAATTCAACATCTGCACATGTTTTTGAATGATTTCAAACCTGATATTCTTGTGATAACAGAGTCATGGCTTACCTCAAAAATACTCGATTCTGAATTGACGGGTAACTTCCCCTACACTGTCTACAGGCATGACCGTAGAAACAGAAGAGGTGGTGGCATCTGTTTCTTAGTCAAGTCTACCTTGATTACTAGGGAGATAAAGGTTACTTTCGAACTGGGCCCAGATACAATTTGCATTGAGCTTCTGAATGGGATCTCCTCGTCCATCCTCCGATTTATTGCTGTCTATCGCCCTCCTAATACTTCCGCCGCTACCGATGATTCTTTCATTGAGTTTCTTTCTGATTTTACTTCTGCTCGCTGTCACACAATACTGGCTGGTGACTTCAACCTCAACATAGACTGGACAACTAAGTCTCCGAAAAACCATTCTTCAGCCCAGTATCTCCAGTTCTTTGAAAGGTCCGGCTTCACCCAGTATGTGGTTCAACCAACACACGGAGGCAATATCTTAGACCTTGTCTTGTCCTCTACCCCTATTATTGCGAATGTCAGCGTCCATCCTCCTTTTGCCAATTCTGATCATAGTGTTGTATCTTTCAATGTGACCCAGAAGTTTCCTTTGCATGGCACAATACCTACACCTGACTTTATCAATCTCGATTACCGGATGTTAGACTCGTACTTTCATACTGTAGACTGGTGGGCGGTTTTCGAAATTACACCTCTATTAATGATGTTTACAAGCGATTTTGTTTAGAGGTTTATTCTGCTTTCTCCTATTTCGTTTCATTTAGGCCCCCACCTCAGTCGTACCTCAAATACCCCCCGCACATTCAGAATCTGTTAGCACAAAAAAATCGCCTTTTCTGCCTACGTTCAAATCCCCTATCTGATGAATACTATAAGAAAGTTTGTAAAGATCTTGACTACCATGTTAAGAAGTTCATAGAAAATCGTGAAAGGCTACTGTCGGCTAGGCCCAATTTTAAAGCCCTC